ACCACGAAGTCCCGACCCTAACTCTGATTGGCTAGTGTTCTGTGTTAATCTAATGGCTAAATGCTAATAAGAAGATGAAGAAACCCAAGAAATAATCTTCACATATTCAGTTGTCGCAGCGTCAGTTTTCCTCAAAGCTCAAAGAAGCGTGAATGAAGAACACAAAGCGCAGCTTCAGTGGACAGCTTTCATGCTTTTTAATGCTCTGCTTCACTTTGTCATCGTTAACTTTTTTATTCTGCACAACAGGGGCTAAGTTGAAGGACTGGGAGATATAGAAGAGCAGCTTACTTAGCAGTTTTTCTACATGTACAGCTCTCATAGCTACAGCACGTAATAGAGGGACTTTTCATCTGCTCGTCTCATTTTGGAAGATCTAAGAATAAGAGCGTTTAGATTTCCAGTGTGACAAAAGCCTATAAATATATTTCATTTGAAAATGTGTGATATAATGTAGGCGCTGTAGCTCTTACATTAATAGCAGAACATACAATTATTGTAAAGTCACATCAATGTCTCGTGTTCCTTTGAAATCTTGCAGCGCCACCAACAGGTTGTGGAGGAATCGCAGCGTCTTACAGAGCTGTTAGCCAGGTAACTCACTTCCTGTTTCACTCACAGACATCAACACACTCATGTGGGGCTCAAAAGAAGACACAGACTGGGCTGGTTGTAAAATAACAAAAACAGAAAACCTCACAACAGCTGAGACTGATAAGATGGCGTGAGTGGTGGAGTGGTTAGCGGTGTCGCCTCACAGCAAGTTCTTGGTTTACATCCCAGCTGATGTCCCTGAGTGGGTTTCCTCAGCCTTTCTCCCACAGTCCAAACACAAGCACGTTATGTAGTTTGTGATTCTATATGGGTCGTGTGATATGAGGAAGATGGAGTGGTTGAAGTGCACAGAATAAGTGCTGTGTGATCCATCCATCCATTATCTGCCGCTTATCCGTATCAGTCTCCCCAGCCACCTCTTCCAGCTCGCCTGGGGGGAAACCAAGAGACATAATTTCTCCAGCCTCTCCTGGCTCTGGCCCGAGGTCTTCTCACAGTCTGATATACCCAAACCACATCAACAGGCTCCTTTTGATGCGGAGGAGTAACCACTCTGCTTTGACCTGTACAACTGAACTCCTCACCCCATCTCTAAGGGAGCATCAAGCCACCTGTTGGAAGAAGCTCATTTCCCCCTCTAATATCCACAATCTCATTCTTTTGGTCACTAAAGTCTGTAGGTGAGGGCAGCAACAGAGAGCGACCACTAAATCACCAGCTTTCTGACGTGAAGGTGCTGATTTTCACCCCGGCCGCTTCACACTCATTTTCAAACCACCCTAGTGCAAGCTGGAGGTCACCACCTGATGAGGCCAAGAGAACCACGCCATTTTCAGAGGGCAGGGACCATCAAAACAGAAAATTCAGAAAAGCAGGGGGAAAAGTAAAGCAGATGTTTTTTTCAGGAAACTGGAAAAAGGTACAAAACACAAACTGACACTAGGAAAAGCTCAGGACACTGGAGACTATGACACAGTGAGACACATCAAGACTGAGTTTACATACACGAGCAGGAGTTTTAACTGTGTTTTTGTGTTTATGTCACATTCCAGCAGTGTAAACGATGCGTTAGTTGAGTCTGAAAACCGAGAAGATGATGAGAACGAGGATCCAGAGGACACAGAGGGCCGAGCATCTCGGCTGTGGGTGGACAGATTTTCACCGCGTCACTACACAGAGCTGCTCAGCGACGATGTAAGTGATGTGCAGTGTTTCTGTGTGACTTTAAGGAAGAAGGCTTATTCGAAAGTCTTTGTGGAGGCGGCTTGTTGATGTGGCGCGTCTCGTGTCGTTCAGTTCACCAACCGCTGTCTGCTCAAGTGGCTGAAGCTGTGGGACACCGTAGTGTTTGGAAGAGAGAGGAAGTCCCGCCCTGCTCGATCCGACAGACAGGCTGCCAATCAGAACGCATTTAAACCCAATCAAGGAAATCAGAATCAAAATCGCTTCAAGAGCAAGATTGAGGTGACCGAGGAGCTGCTGGAGGCAGAGCTGGACCAGTACAAACGACCCAAATTTAAGGTCTAAAAGCTGCACATCTGTCACATCTGTTTGCATTTGATTACCTGGCTTTTACACACGGTGTGATTTATTTTGGCCTCTCTCCAGGTGGCGTTGCTATCCGGTCCTCCAGGTTTGGGGAAGACCACCCTGGCTCATGTCATTGCAAAGCATGCTGGGTACAACGTGGTTGAAATCAATGCCAGGTTAGGCACAATAATAATAAGTGAGCAGATAGTGGCAGTAAATCATGGAGATGGCAGGTTTACTGTCATCCTCCTTCTTCACAACCTCACTTGGCGTTGTTGACGTTTGTGCAGTGACGATCGCAGCGCCGAGGTGTTCCAGAAACGCATCGACACAGCGACACAGATGAAGTCCGTTTTGGGAGCCAATGAGAGGCCGAACTGCCTCATTATCGATGAGATTGACGGAGCACCTGCGGTACACTCCTGCTTTAAATTGGTAAAGAGCAGCTAAATGACCGCAGCCGTTCTTAATGCTTTGCCCTTTGATGTGCTCTGCAGGCCGCCATCAACATACTGCTGGCAGTTCTGAACAGGAAAGACGGACACGGGGGTGAGGCTGGCGCGGAGATGGCGAAGAAGAAGAAGAAGAGGGAGTCCATCCTACTGCGACCAATCATCTGCATCTGTAACGACCTGTAAGAGAAACTGTGGCATTAACAGCAGAGTGGGAACTGTGAATACCTGTTATTTGTTTTTACTTTATTTTTACTTCTTTATCGTTTTAAAGTCATCTGTTTCTTTTTAAGTTATGTCCCAGCTCTCCGGCCTCTCAGGCAGCAGGCTTTCCTCCTGGCTTTCCCACAGACTCAGCCTTCCCGCCTGACACAGAGACTGGCAGAGGTCAGCATAGTCACAGATGCACGCACACATCTCGACACGCGCTGCTGATCCTTGTTTAAACGAAATCGCTGTTTGCAGATCTCACTCCGCCAGGGGCTGAAGGCAGACACGGGCACCCTGATGTCACTGTGCGAGAAGACCGACAACGACATCCGGTCCTGCATCAACACGCTGCAGGTGGGTGGCGCGGCTGAGAAGGAAAGCCCGGCAGATGCACAGCCAGTGTGAAGAATTCGGTGTAAACGTGTGTTTGTGCTTCTGTCCAGTTCCTTCATAGTCGTGGCGTCAAGCAGCTGGACAGCAAGACGATTCAGAGCATCTCTGTGGGGCAGAAGGACCAGAACAAAGGCTTGTTCCATCTGTGGCAGGAAATCTTCCAGTTACCACGTACAAAACGGTACGGCGAGTTCCCCGAGACAGCTCAGCAGTCTGTCACAGGGCTAACACAGAGAGAGAGAGACGACAATTCACACCTATGGGTGTGAAAATTATGCAAATATCACTAAATAAATAGATAAACCTTGAAGATAATCATAGCGCATATGAACTGAGCTTAGTATTAAAATGTCTTTTAAAGGCTTCAGTTGAAGCAGGTGAAAGTCGTAGGAAGCCTTGAAACGAGTCACTGTGTCTTTTCTTTT